GTTTTATAGTTTTAGCTCCTACATTTGTATCTTCGATCCAGTTTAATTTTTCTGAATGGTTGTGAGGTAGGGATCCAATTTCATCCATTTGCATGGGGATATCCTTCTTACCATTTGTTCTTTCCCAGGAAACCCTTCTTAAGGGCAAAATTTCTAGAAGCAATCCTAAGGTTTTAGTGTCTAGTGGGAGACTCATAGGCAGAGAAGGGGAACAGGTATCTACCGTCAGAGTCCTTCCAGGCAAGGGGGTGAAACTTGGACATCTGCAAGCCAGTCTGTTTGTATATGTGACAGGAGTTTCTAATCAATCACAGCACACCATCTGGCTAAGCTGTGACAATTTCAGAGGTGACAGGAGGAGGTGTTATCCCAGGAGGAGCATGATTTGGAGAAATGAAAACAGTAAAGTTAATATTGGATATGTGGAGTTTGTCGTGTGTATGGAACATGGGAATGGAGTTGTGTAATAGGAGGCTGGACATGGAAGACTAGAACCCTGGGCTGGAGAGAGACCCTTGAGGCTAAGGCATGAAATTAAGATCAGATCTGATCTCCCAGAGTAAGTGACAAGGTAAGATAACCTGGAATTAGACCTGACAATCTGAGGAGCCCACAAGGGGACTGGCTTGAGAGGTAGAAGAAGAACCAGAACAGTATTGGTGAGGAAGCCAGGGATGAAGGGACAGCTATTGATGGCGACCAACAGTGTCAGAGGTTGGTAAGGTGCAGACTGGGAAGTGTCCCTTGATCATTATGAGGTGGTTGGTCACCTTTGCAAGCATGGAGGTAGAAGCCGGATGCAGTGATGAGCTGTGAACTTGGTGTGAACAGAGTCTTGTTGGTTGAAACCTGGTGCGTGAGAGAGAGAGGTCTCAGAAAACCGTCGACATTGTTATCATTCTGTGGAATTGAAAGAATACCCGAGGTCAAATGAAGAAGTTAAGCTGACTATGAGGGAAAAAATGTCTGAGGGAGGTGAGGGAAGACGAGCATGTCTGTGTCTGCCAGACGCGGCCTGCCACGTTCACCACCAAACCTTCTTTCCATGGTCTGAGACATTCCTGCAGAAATGGATCCTACACAGTGGGGACAAAATTAGTCTCAGACACAAACTTTGCTAAAGAATATTTTCTGGCAGATAAAGCACAAAATTCCTAAGCTGGGTTGGTTCTCATGAAAGGGTCTGTGTTTTTCTGCAGCAGAAATGTAGAGTGTTTTAAATTGTCGATTGTGTAAGATCCCAGACTTACTGACCCAGGATCTCATGGTGTAAGGCCTAGTTTTTAAATAAACTCTTTAGGTTTGGCAAGACAAGAAGGCTTTTGTTTAATATAAAGATGTGATGTGAATACTTCTACTACCTGTTCCATTCATGGATTCTCCACCAGTTTCCTGGCCTGGGGATCAGAAGCCAGATAAAGGGCCTTACCTACTGGATAGTTGCTTGAAGCTACAACTATAGGTGAAGGAGTTGAAATATTTCTGGAATAAACAGTTGCATACTGGATCCACTTCTTTCAGAGGAGGAGATGGGGTGGAGGTATTTTATTAGCTTCAAACCATCTTTGTTGAGTCTTTTTAGGAGGCACACAAGGTGGCTGTCGGCTAAGATCTTGCAACAGCATGGTTTATGGTTCCATGTTTCTACTTGAACCCAGTGATTCATTTTGTTATCTAAGTTTTAAACCCTTTCATGATTCTTTAAAGTGATCTGGTTTGGAAAATGGCTTAGAACAAAAACCATAACAACCAAAAACCCCAGTCCAAACAAACCAACCCAGAAATAGGTTTAACAGCTATACGCAAGTGGGGGTTGCTTTACTTGCATTTATCAGAAAGCAATCTCTTCTGGCTGATTAGAGTAATTAGGGAGGATTGTGTTTCAACCTAAAGCACAGGCTAGCAGAAAGTTTTCATCCATTCCACTAAGTGTAAACCAAAAAAATGTGAAATATTGGCTAAAGGCTATAAAATCATTCACTGTCTAGACTCCCACTAGGTTTGGTTGTAGGTAATCCTGGCCATTTAGAACTGTTGAATTAAATAACAGGAGTTCAGTTCTAAGAAATAGAACTTTTTTAATTGGTTCTTCTTAATTATACATAGCATTAGGATTCATTTTAGCATAATTTTAAAAGCATGGAACATAATATGCTCTAATTCAGTCCCCAATACTTCTCCTTTCCCTTCTTCATCTCTCCCTGGTTACCTTCCCTCTACTCTCCTGATCTTTTTGCTATTTACTCAGTGTTTTTTAGTATTTTTGTGGACATACACGATGGTGAGATTCACTGTGGTATATTCAGGTATGTACACAGGAAGATCAGGCCAGATTCATTCCACTGTCTTTCCCCATCTCATCCCTCTTCCCTCCCCCTCCACGCCCTTCTACTCCACTGATCTATCTACTATTTTGATAGACACCCCCCCACCCCAGCTTTTCTTTTAAGAAATATTTTCTAAGAACTAACGGAGGACATATTAGATAATTAAAATATTATACTTTTGTTTGAAGCTTTATACTGATAGACTCATGACAAAAATGTTAAAATACATGATATGTAACATGTAATTAAGGATCATATTAAAATATAAGTGCACAAAGAATGGAAAACATTAGCAATGAAACTCAGATTCCATTTATTTAGAGTTTTAAAGGATTAAAAATAATAGAAATGTAACATACTTTGAATTTTAAGAATAATTCCAAAATTTCATAAAAATTTTTGTCTGGGAGGCCATCCAGACTTTATTCTTGCTAATTAACCATAAATTAAACATTGTGTATTACTTGGGCCAGTGTTGGAGGAATAGTTCAAAAGGATGAAGTGCTGAAATATTTTTACGCTCATGAAACTGTTAACTAAAAGCATCTGCCCAAATCCCTTTAACTGGTTACTTGTTTCCATCATGAAAATCGCATCTCCTTTGCTCTGAGAAAGGAAATAATTAGTATCTATGAACTATATTTTCTTTATTTCTAATATTTCTATATTAGTGCTAAGTTCTTGAACTAGCAATGTCTCACTCTTGCACGCAAAACAGATTCCTAAAATGCAGTGGTGCTCCCTTTGAAACGTGCATGCTCTTTATCTTTGAATTTAACCTAGAAGAATGTATCATACATGTGATGAATATCATCAATAGCACTCCGAACCATGTGGACCTTTTGTGCCACAGAGTACAGGAACAGACACTGTCATTCAGAAGTGCAGTTACATGACACTTTCTTTGATGGCTGTTTGGCCGTCTCATGGAGTTGGAAGCTAAGGCATGAAGTGGCGTGAGATGTTCAGGAAAGCACAGGTAGAGTCTTGGCCATCTTCCAACAACAATGGGCTCCCATGGGGGGATTTCTTCCCTGGGGAATTTTCATTATTTTCATGGAACTGGAGGAAAAGAATCCAGCAGATTTATAGTTGTGGTGAATTGGCTGGGGTTTGAATCGGACCAGAAGGGAGTCCCAATTTTGTTGTACAGGCTGTATGACTTGAGCAAAAAGGGAAAACCTCTGTGATTCTATTTCATTAATGTTATAAAAGAGTAACTGAGAAAAACCTACTTTTAACTGATACACCAATATGCCATGAAGATAGTATTATAATGTTTCTAGAAAAAAAACATCTAAAAATGACACATAGATGTACTTTTTAAAAAACTTGATAGGCTTAAAATTGCTTTTTATGTATGTAATTAAAAAGTGTGTGGAGAAGAAACCATCTCCTTTCAGAGCAATGCCGTGAGGGGAGACCACACTGGTTCTAGGAAGTGAAACTCGGGCAGGGGGAAGCTACTTGACTTTGTAGAAGTTCATTGGATTCAGCTACGGGGGTGAGCAGAAGTGGTCTGAACTTGAAGGGCTTAGCCTCACTGCTCCCATGTCCCTCACATTGTGATGTTGGCTGTGAAACAAAGGAGGGACCCTTCCAGGGCTCATCCAATGAGGATGCTGACCATGGACAGGCAGCAAAGTGGTTTCACTTTTAGGGTCCCCAAGATGAGTGTGGTCCCCTCCCAACATGACTGAGGGCACCTAAGAAGAGCTTCTCCCAGGATCCAGGAAGGAGGGTGCCCACCTAGAGAGCACTGGGCCCCCGGGACTTTCACTGCACAGATGCCCACCCAGGGTAGCTCCATCTCTGCTCAGGAGGGGCCTGGGAAATCGGGGCAAAGTGTGACTCCTTTGATCCCAAGATGGCCTTGATTCTTCTTCTTCAGCATGGGCTCCCAGAGCGACCAAAATGAGGGAATCGGGAATTGGTCTTCAAGAGGTCTTGACTTCCAGAAGTCTGGGGGTCTTGGCTCTCATTGACTAGTTGGAAACTTCATTTTGAGGGGAAAAAATAACTTGCTTTTTAAAAGTCCATTCCCTGAGTTGTGAGTTAGGGGGGGAAAAGGACAATTTTTTTTTCTTAATAAAGGGAAAGTTTGTTATAGGTTGTTTCATGCAGACTTGATGAATTTGCAGGGGACCCTTAATTTCAGACACAGGGACAGCCAGCTTGTGGCTTTAATCGCGCCTTCTGAACCTGTTATAATGTCTCTTGTGGCTGGTCATCCATAAACACCACTGCTGCTCAGACTTAGTGCCCTGTGCTCTGTCTTTTGTGTTTAACATGGAATCTACATTTGATGGAGTCTCCTCTGTAGACTGATGCTAAGTGTTGGGGATGTAAATATTAACAAAATGCTGTCTTTGATGTCATAGAGCTCAGTCTGGAGATGGTTGAAAATACACAGAACTTTTCTATCCTAGCTTCTCCTGGTCCTCTAATTTGCTCATCTACATTTAAAAAAAATGAAAAATAAAAATTCAGCAACCTGTTTTGAGATGTATTAGGGTGGAATGGAACTTCTTTCAGCACACACTCATTTCTTTCCTGGAATGAATGCAATGATAACTTTTATGATACCCACTGGTTCCCAAAGATCAATAAAAAAATGTTACTGGTTAATGTTTGACTGAAGGTGAGGGAGAGGCTGGGGAGGTAGAGCAGGGCAGAGGCAGTATTCTCCGGAGAGCCTTCAGACTCAGCAAGCGTCTCCACAACCGAATGGAAGAAAAGAACTTTTAGCCACCATTTTCTTATTTACAGAACGGTAAGTCTTGATACGTCTTAATTATGTCAATAACGTATTTCTTCAAGAAGGACAAATTAGATTGGCAGGGGGATTGTCAGGCAAATATATTTCTTGAGGTGATCTATGTGACATTGCTAGGAAGACACTCCCCGTGTGACAAGTGGAGCACAGTTGCTTTCTTTTGCAGTTTGTTCCTTTTTGTGGGTCTATGTTTTAGAAATTCATTTGACTTAGTTAGACCAAGCTTAGTAGTGGAATTAAAGGGAAAATGGGGTTCTTGGGTTAAACATATATTTACTCTTTGTGATTTACATATAAATGCCTGGACTTACAATGTTCTGAAGCCCTTATATTCTAGAAAAAGGAGGTTAGAGTCTTATTTTCGAAAAGTGCGGCATCTCTCAGATGTGGTCTTTAAAGATTGACCATTCCATCTACTTCTCAGAACAAGATTTGATTTGGAATTTGTAGGACTGTTTGGGATGCAGCATGGAAGGAGGAGGTAGAAAGGAGAAAAGAAGACTTTTAAAGAAAGTACTGGAGTAAGAATTAAAGACATCAAGGCAGACCTGCCTTTACTTCGAAAGGAAGGCTCATGGTGCCAGTCAGCTTCAGGTGCTGCGTCTGCTGTGTTGGTGGATCGGTATTATCTTGAGATGTTAAATCATGGTCCCGCTTATTGATCGCTTCAAAGTTCCAGTCTTGGCTGGACAACTTTCTAGGGAGAAAGACCCTATGTGGGGTGGGGTTGGACGATGCCAAATGGGAGATTGAAAAGGCAATGAATGCATTTCCTGAGATTTTCTTGACTTTATTATTATTATTTTTAAAAGCTTCACTAGTAAGTGAGGCAGTGTTTGAAAGAAGTACATGTTTAAATGATCAGGAAAATGGATGACATTCAGCTCTCACCAGGAAGCAAGATGAGTCGTTTCCTGAGTAAGACTTTACAGTCGATAATGGGGCATGTGGTTTATGAGTCTTCAGGGTTGGTCAGATGAGTCAGGCCAGTTTCATCATGTCCAAAGTGTCAAGCCCAGAGCAGAAGGCTCCATCTCTCTGACTCTTAATTTTTTCATCTGTAAAACCAGATAACCTGCCTAACTAGGTAATTTTGAGAAGTAAAGTAAATTAGGTTAGAAGGTAAAGAATTACCACATTTATTGGCCATGGTGGAAGTTCAATGAGTGCTGGCTCCCTTTTTCATGAGCAAGTTCAGGTCATGACTCAGGTTTAACTGAGAAACTACTGTTTGTTCTGTAGGAGGAAAAAAAAAATCACTATTACCACAAACACATATCTTCCATTTTTCAAGAAAGCCACTAATGTTATGTTAAGGAGGTGGGATCCAACAATATAGGAAGAGAATGATATACTGTTGGGTTCTGATAGATATTTAGTTAAAACCCAACAGATAAATGCCCTTCTAATGGTTCCCATTTAAATCTTCAGGTGCAATGTGGGTGTGGCATCCTTTGAAACTTACCAAGATGAGCCCCGAAAAAAGTCTGTTGTTTAAGATGAAAGTCACATCTACAGCACCTTCTTCCTTCTCTTATAAAAGGGAAAAAAAATCCTGGTGGGAACTTAAACTTTCATTCCATTGTTGAAGGAAATTTCTGGAAGGGAGAGCATGTCCTCATTTTCTCCATGTCCAGAGAGGTGACTGAGAAGGAAAGCTGAGTTTTGTCACCTTCCTTTCTCTGAAGGTTCATAAATGAATGGTATAGGTGCTAATTTACATGGCTAGAATATATATTTATTTGCTGCCATTAAAATTTCATCCATTCAGAAATCCCTGGTGTTGATTTAGAATGGAGTTAGTTGCTCTTATTTAGTCAGCCTGCTTGCTGACTGAATAAGAAGCTATTCTGAATTTTGTTAGGTAAACATTTCTGTTTGTTCTCACAATTCACAAATGGGTAGATGGATATTCCCCTAAGTATAAGAAATATTAACTTAATAAAAGCAGATGTTCACTCAGTGGCTAAGGTATTAATTATACTAGAGCTGATTTTCTTTTTCCACTTAAGAAATTTGTAACAGACTAAGCTATACTTGATGATTATATGTAGACAGTGCAAGAAAATTAAAATATTTTGTAATGCTGACATTTTGAAGTCTTTCATCCTTGGCAGTCTAGTCAATTATTTCTTACCATATTTTAATTACTTTAAAACATCAGCATTTATCGTTGTTGTGTAAGGGTCAAAGAGAATCAAAATGATAGATTTTTGCTCTTGAAGAATACTTAAAATAAAGATGGGCACCTCCTCCCCTCACCAAGTCCTGTGGTTCCGAGCTTGGTCTCAGTGCTGAGATTGACATCCTCTGTAAACTATTTTCCTACCCCAAAGGATAACAGGATTCATGTTGTTCAGAGTACTTAACTTAGCAAATTTTCAATGAATATGAAGGTTTTTTTGAGGATTTTAATTAAAAAAAAACTAATTCATGATAAGATTTCACAGTGGCATGGCACCTTTTATTAGGTAGAATTAAATTCACTTTTCCTTGTCCTCCTACTCATCCATCATCAGTTATGATTTAATTATAGAATCACAGCATTAACCTGTTGTACCTGGGCATGACTGTACACTTTTTTGCCATTATAATTCTTGCCTTGGGGTCACCTTATAAAGGAACTAGTATTACAGCAAGTGGTTTTTGATGATTTTTTTTTTAAAAAAATCCTTCAATGTCTAAACCCTATGGGATGGAATCTAATTTAGACTTACCTCCTACTGAATTGCTAAGGCCAGGGAGTGTGATCTTATTATCTTGACAAAGTGCTCATCTGTGCACTTTATAATACATGAAGAAGCGTGGTTTAATACATGAAGAAACACTCTGTCAAAAATAATTAAGTTGCCTTTTATAAGAAATAGGTCTCCCCTGGTGTAAAGAGGAGGATGGGAGTCACTTTGGGATGATGATCTGCTAGATATGGAGGAAAGAATAATCCTTTCCCTGTCTCCCACCTAGGGTTTCTGAGGTGTGAACCTGTCTCCCTCAGGGAATCCAGTGCTGTCTACAGGCTTAAGATGGGTCAGAGGGGCACCCGGGCAAAGTGGCCCTCTGTTGCCCCATGTAAGAGCCTGCCTTCCCTCTGCTGACGAGTTCAGGGCTGGCACACTCTGAGAGACTCTGCAGAGAGACCCCTTCTTCCCAGTTGACCATCCCTTGCTCAGTTTGGGGGTGTGCTGGGAGAAAGAAAGCTAACCAGGGATAACAAGACCACATTTATCAAAATATTCCTTAGAACTCCTTATTCTTTTCTTAAAACATAGTTTTTAGTTGTAGTTGGACACAATACCTTTATTTTATTTATTTATTTTTATGTGGTGCTGAGGATCGAACCTAGTGCCTCATGTGCCATTGAGCCCCAACCCCAGCTCCTCCTTATTCTTTAATAAGAATAATTATTCTAGCAATTTATATGGCAATTGATCATATAAATCTGAACCATGTTAAGTTTTCCAGGGAAGCCATCTATCCTCCCATGAGGTCATGGGCCCTAGTCATGAACATATTAATAATCACCCCAGTTTTACATATGTGTAAAAATTTCACATTCTGAAAGACTTACATATCTATATTGTAAAGTTTAGTGAAAAAAAAGTGCCCGTGTGTGTGTGTGTGTGTGTGTGTGTGTGTGTGTGTGCGTGTGAGGCAGGGGTAGGGATGTCTCTCCCTCCTTTCCTCTCTCGATGCTAAAAACACGCCATCCAGCGGCCCACTCCCTCCTCAGGTGGAATAATCAGTCTGAAGTGTGAGGCAGCAGCAGCCCAGATTTTATGCCTGCCTGCTTGCTCCTAGCTTATTAAGAGCCACTTTAATTGGGTCCCTAATTTGTCAAAGTGCAAATTGGTCTGCTCCTCCTGTGGTTTTCTAAACCTTAAGTGATGTAATTGGTGCCTGTGATTTGTGAGTCAGACCAAAAGATGGGCATGATTGATCTGAACACTGCTTGATGAACAATAGTGTGAGCCAGCTTTTAATCTGATTTTTATTCATCTCTGGCCTTGCCTTATAATTTATGCTGCTCTTAGCAATACACAATGCAGATGTAAAATAAATGGCACACAGGATATTTGGTGCTATTCAGTCCGGGTGCTGTTATAAATTCTAGTCACATCCTTTCCTGCCCACATCACCCTATAATATTTGAAAACAAAATTTGCAATCCTCTCCTCCTGTCCCTTCTTTGTTCTTTGGAGCTGCCTGGCTCAACCTCAGCCTTAGATGAATTACTTTAATTCAAAGTCTTTTATATGAATTATCTTACTGAGTCTGGCTCTACTTAAAATTTACCTAGCACTTTTGTTTTTGCAAGGGATGGGGGTGTGGAATCAATGTTTGCATATTGAAGTTACTTGTAGGTTTGGAAAACTGGGACCGGAAATTCCCTGTCCTTACTCAGATAAATAGGGAAATTACAAAAGTATCTAAAAATGTCTTAATGTCTCTTGGAAGAATTGGAGCCCAGTTGGAGAATAAATCAAGCTTTCAAGTTCCCCAGGGATGCCAGGAGCACTGCATGTATAATAGCAGAGTAAACCCCCTGCTTTGAGGCCATTCCTGTCCTGAGATAGTAGCACCTTACTCAGTGAAAACCAAGAGTAGTTTGGTCTATTGGTTTGCTAGGGTTGCCATAACAAAATACCAGAGCATGAATGGCTTAAATGACAAAAATTTGCTGTCTCAGATCTGGAGCTATAAGTCCAAGATCAATGTGTTTGCAGGGTTGCATCCTTTGAGGGCTGCAGGAAAGATCTCTTCCAGATCTGTCTTCTTGGCTTATAAATATTATCTACATATTTGCCTCTCTTCTTCCTGTATATATGAGTCTGTCTCTGAGTTGTCCCTTTTTATAAGGTCACTAGTCATACTGGATTAGGGCCCGTCCTAATGGCCTCATTTTAACTTGTTTGTAAAGACCCTAAGGTCACATTGTGAGGTACTTGGGAGTTTGGACTCCAGCATATGAATTGGAGAGGGGGGTGGTCCGTGCTGAC